AGCATAGAATATGCATCCTTACTTTGATTCAAAAATCTCTGCAAGTATCAGTCCCGGCGGTGATACGCTGGAACCGGGGATTGTGATGCCAGCAAAAAAATTAAAGAAAAAAAGTAAAGAAAAACGTCTAAAAAAGATGGATGGGGTATCGAACCCAGGTTCAAAAGAATAGTCTACATATGTTTAACCACCTTACTAAAGCATTATAATCAAACTTTTTTGAAAAGAAATCGTATATATATACTTAAACACTATGGGTTAAGTTTTAACCACAGTTTGTGCTTCCGTTAACAGACGTTAATTCGAAGATATGATTTTACCAATTTTTAAAATACAAAGGTTTTAAAAGGCAACCGAAATTAAAAGAAGTATTTTTATTCCAAATTTAATACTACGTGTATTAAACGGCCAAAAAAAAATTAGATGGCGATTTTTTCGGGTAACCGATATTGAAGAGGTCTGCTTCAGTTCCTGAAGGACACGTACTGGTCTATGTAGGTGACGAGATGGAGAGGTTCGTCGTTAGTGATTGAAGATGGTAATGGAGGAGTGGAGGATTCCATGACCGTAAAGTGATTGAAGATGGTAATGGTGGTAGCTTTGGGTTAGAAGAAATCAAAGAAACTGTAAAAGTTAGGGTTTTGCATTGAATTTGCATCCTTTCTTTGATTCAAAAATCTCTGCAAGTTTCAGTCCCGGCGGTGATTCGCTCCTCCGCGGATTGGGATGCCAGCAAAAAAATTAAAGAAAAAAAGTAAAGAAAAACGTCTAAAAAAGATGGATGGGGTATCGAACCCAGGTTCAAAAGAATAGTCTACATATGTTTAATCACCTTACTAAAGCATTATATTCAAACTTTTTTGAAAAGAAATTGTATATATATACTTAAACACTATGGGTTAAGTTTTAACCACAGTTAGTGCTTCCGTTAGCAAAGTTAACAAACGTTAATTCGAGGGTATGATTTTACCAATTTTTAAAATACAAAGGTTTTAAAAGGCAACCGAAATTAAAAGAAGTATTTTTATTCCAAATTTAATACTACGTGTATTAAACGGCCAAAAAAAAATTAGATAGCGATTTTTTCGGGTTTTTTCTCTAAATTGAGGATTAAAGTTGAATTCAATTCAATGGAAATTGAATACACAAAAAGAGATTCCGAGAAAAACATTTGTCAGCAAATCAACAAGAACATAATTTTTTAATAGAAAAGCTTAAACATATATCCAAGAAAATTAAAATCATTTATATTTTTAATCATGCTATTTGAATATATATATATATATATATATATATATATATATATATATATATATATATATATATATATAGTTTCGTGAAAGAAAGGCCTAACAAAAGGACATGAAATGAGGATATAATAAATTTTATATAAGAAAAAAATTAAAGAATTAAAAGAAATTAGTGTTTGCAAATTAAACAGAAGAAAATATGATAGAATTGAATGTTAGGAAAAAAGAACAAATCTCATATGTAAAAAAAACTTTCAATACTTGTGATGCAACCACATGTCATATACTATAACATAACTTATGGAAAAAAAATCTTCTTATCTCAGAGTTTTTATTAATACTTCACTCATAAGCCACCCCATATAATAAATATGTTTGTTCTTCGGGAAAAATGTCGTTAAAATCCACAACTTATTCAAAACGTTGATTTAAATCCTCAACTCATGACGAAACAAAATAAATATCAAACTTATGTTGACTTTCCAAATAAATATTAAACTTTTGTTGACTTTCCAAATAAACACCAAACTTTCATTGACTTTCCAAATAAATATCAAACTTCCGTTGACCTGATCATATTAGGTACGACATTAAGTGGGTTACTAAATTCTCAACTCATGACAAAACGAAATAAATATCAAACTTATGTTGACTTTCCAAATAAATATCAAACTTATGTTGACTTTCCAAATAAATATCAAACTTCCGTTGACCTGGCCATATTAGATACGACGTTAAGTGAGTTAATAGATCTCGTAAACGGAGGTAATTTTCTGTTAACATATATGTTAATTGATAACGACATTGTTTCATATAACAACAAAACGACGTCATTTTGTCGTAACGATTGAATTAAATCCCTAAAGTCAATCTTAGATCCCCAAATCGAGCAAAATCCTTAACCCTAAATAGAGTATGATTTGAAACTCGGGATTTTATTGAACAGTTAATACAAAACAACGTCGTTTTATGTTTAGAAGGAATACTTGTTAGTGTTTTAATCAACAAACGAACTCTGTTTTAACAGAGTATGAAGAACAAAACCAAAATGAAAAATAGAATATGAAGAAACTTGATTTTTATTGATAAGAGAAAATGTATTACAAACAATGATGTTATTGAGTTTGACTCGATCTACTTATACAACACGAAACAACGTATACGTACATGTGTTAATCGAAAAGACACAACTTTACGAACAGACACAACTATACGTACGTACATTCGTGACTCTTACGTAAATAACTAACTTATAGGAATACGATTTTAGGTTATATGACTTAGATGAGATTTGATTATAGTTCAACAATACTGTCATTTTTAATTAGCGGGTCTGTTAACAGAAAATTAATCCCGTTAACATTGTCTGTTAACTCACTTAACGTCATGCCTAATATGGCCAAGTCAATGAAAGTTTGGTGTTTATTTGGAAAGTCAACATAAGTTTAATATTTATTTGGAAAGTCAACATAAGTTTGATATTTATTTCGTTTCGTCGTGAGTTGAGGATTTAAATCAACGTTTTGAATAAGTTGGGGATTTTAATGACATTTTTCCCTTTGTTCTTCAACTCTCATTTACCACCATTACTCGTCACCTCTCTATCAAACACACATATTATTTCTTTACCTTGTTTCTCAGATAGAAATGGCGGCCTCTTATGAATCACAAAGAGATGTTGTTGAATTGGCGACCCTTGAACAGACGAAAAAACATGTGGAGGAATTAGAGGAGGTTCTTAAGAAATTTGAACAAACTTATTTGGAAAAAGGAAAAGCCGCAGATGATACGCTTTTGAGTGATGAAGAAATGGAAAAGTTAAGTCAGATGATGAACGTTGTGAAAGTTCTGAACAATTGTTCGACAAAGATAGGACAGTCATTGCCGCTAAAAGAAGAAGAAGAAAGAGAATTAATTGAAGTTGATTTGAATAATATACCCTAATTAAATGCTGAATCATCATCATTATCTCTATACTATTAAAAGAGAAGTACAAATGCAAATAGGTCGGGTCAAAATCAGAAAATTGATCCAAAATTCTGAAATCGGATCTTTTGAATTTTTTTTGGAATATGATTTCTAATTAATATTTAATAATGAAAAATCGAACTAAAATCAAATATTTATGGAAATCAAATAAAATCTGATTGTATTTATGGTAACTAATTATAAAGTATATTCCGAACAATACTATACATTAATTACGTATAATATATTTGTTCATATATTTTTGGAACTAATTCCATAACAATCAACGTTTTTGTAATTAATTTTGCTTATTTTGGCTAATTATCATTAATTGAAAGATATCTTACTTGCTTCAAAAGATTTCTAGAAAATTTATCACAACTAACCCATCTATTTTATAAATTAAATAGATATTTTATTTTGGTCGTGTAAATTAAATAGATATAAAATCCATGTAACTACTTTTAATTTAATTAGATTAAATCAAAATTATGGTATTTTCGTACTTATAGCTTACCAAAGAAATTTAATTTTAAAATTATAAAGATTTTTTGAATATGATTTTTAGAATTATTCAACAAGATGATAAATATTTATTAAATTTTGTGAATCATGGAAAATAATAATTAATTTTTAATCATTATATTTCACCTTTCAAAGTTTCAATCTTTCATCTAACAAATAAGATACGGATTCTATTATTCATATGTCCAAACTCTATTTTGTTGTATGACTAAATAATATTCTCATTAGAGCTGTCAAAGCGAGTTGATTTGTCCCGCTAAATCCGTTTTGTGATAGGCAAAATATATTTTGACATATAGTTAGTCAGTCCACACGACCCGCGGGTAGCATATATGAAACACTAACCCGTCCCGCGAATGTATGCTGATTTGCGGGGTTGTCCGTGGATTTTGTTTAAATAATTTTAATGTAATGAAATTTAAAATACTACTAAAATAAATAAATAAAAAAATTTTAGAGAAAAAAATTTTATATATCATTATATTTATAAATATTATAATTTTATTTATTAAAAGTTTTTTAAATTACCAAATGTTGAATAAATTATATTTTTATCAATAAATACTAACATACGGGCTGATCCGCCAACCCGCAGACGAAAACTGATTAAAACCTATGATCCACTGCGAATCAATCCATGTGGCCCGTTTATTTACAGGTTTAATATATTTTCCCAAATCTACCCCATAGTAAGATGATTTGGGCTCGACCTACGGTTTTTGACCTATTTTGAGTGCTCTAATTCCTATGAATCGTCTAATTTTAGAATTCTAAAACATAAAATTCCATTTTGTAATCATAATTAACATGATCGGTTTAATTATAAATAATTTAATATTTTTCTGCAATTCGTTATTATGAATATTTATAAGTACACTACACGATTCGCTCTGCGTAAAACACCACAATATTAAAAGCAATGTATGTAAACCAATATTCTCCCATGGTGGACCGCGGGTCCGATCCTAGTAACAATAACAATAACGATGATGATGATATATGTCATATGTTGGCTCTTTTGTTTATTGATGGCTAGATATTTATCCGATATATTAGATGAGATTGTGGGACGATCCATTCTAGATATTAAACGCTATCATCAAAAAAATTATCTAACCATCACAAATAAAGAAAATTTTGAGCCACTCCATCATGAACTTCTTCATTCTTTTCTTTTTTTTTTGGAACTTCTTCATTCTATTAACAATTAGTTTTCTAAATTAACTTTACATTTACATTCGGGAATGACTCAAGATAAGAGAACACATCAAAAAAACGTCAAAAGTAGATCAAAATTCCCTAAATAATCTAATAATCAATAACCCTAATTTGAATCCAAATCTCTTCTAATAAGCAGAAAATAAGCAAAAACAGCACAAAAAACAGCAACAACATTGCCTTCCTTTAATAGAACCTTAAACACAAATCCAACAACTTCTCTCGTAATCTTCCTTCCTTCAACCACTAAAACTCTTCTTGATTTCCCAAAGAAGGTAAGTAACACCACCACCGATATCCAAATCACCATCACCGCCGGAACCGCCACCGTCGTAGCAGCCACCATCGACATAGCTCCAAACATCGCACCGAGAACCACCGACGCGTATACCGCCGGCAATCGAGACGGTGATGGAGACGGAGAAGAATCTGAAGATGATGATGTGTATTGGAGCTTGTACCAGTTAAGAACTGATCTCAGGAGGTTCCATGAAGAAGATAAGAGAATTGCGTAGACGGCGATGAAGAGACAAACCCATGTCCGTCTTTTACTCATGATTTTGATGAAGATAAGATACGATCTTGGAGATTCTGTGTGATCTGCCATTGGCGAAAGGAAATTGTTTTGCTTATCGATCGAATCTGTTTCAGTGAATTTTGAGATTTGTCTGAAGCAAAAGAAGCAAAATGGTAAAAGAGAGAAGATTTTCGGATTTGGGGAGAGCAGTTTCTTTGAATCCTTACTCTCAATCGTAGCGCGTGTTGTGTACACTTCGTTATTGACTTTGTATTCGAGCTGGCAATCGCGTGGTTGTGGTTTCACACGCGCTTTGATATTTGTTTGAAATATATGAAATGGAAATTGGAAAAGATTCACCAAATGCATTTTTATTTTGCCGGAGACTAGTGCTGACGAAATGCATTTCTTTTATTTTTTTTGTCATCTAAATTTTTATTATCAAAACTTAAAAAAGAACCAAAGAAGAAAAAAAAAATCCAAAGAAACTAAAGCCGAGAGCCAAAAAAAAATTCTCAAAAACTAAGTCGGAAGATAACGTAAATTTCTTGGAAACTAAGTCCTGTGCAAATAAACTATGTTCGGAAACTAACCATTTTAATTAATTAATTGAAGTAAAATCGTCTAGAAATTTATTTAATCAATAAACTAGAAAACGACGAAAGAAAAGAAAACATTGGTCACCTTCCACCATAACATATCAATTTTTGTTATGCAGAAAAACATTTTAGAAGATTATTGACCAAAAAAAAGAAGAAGATTGTTTTCTAAATTAGTAATCATACTTGTATTTTTTTTTTCAGCATAATCATACTTATATAGAAATTTAAATGTGTCAAAGTTAGTTGATTTTATTCGATATCAGTGTGTCAAAGTAATGACTTAAATATTTTATGTTAACAATAAAAAAAAAAAGTTAATAAAGACAAGTTTGTGTAAGGGGATCGCATATAATCGCAACTAATACAATAAACAAACATATAGCCGTTAAAGTCAGCTTTGGCTAGACCAGAAGATCAAGAATCTTGAAGATGGAGAAGAATCAATGTGATGATGATCGAACGGCTTTGATCTTTCTCGGAACAGGCTGCTCCGGTGCAGTTCCCGATTTCAGATGCTTACTCCAGCCGTCAGATCCTCCTTGCCATGTTTGTTCTCAGTCACTCTCTTTACTTCCTCATCTAAACCCTAATTACAGGTAAATTTTGACATCAGTTTCTCTTTAGGTTTTGGTCTTTGAAGCTGTGGAGATTGTGAAATGTCAAATCTTGTTGCTTTTCGTAATTACCCTTTTAAAGTTGGGAGTTTTGATTGAAAAAAGAGACATCTTTTGTTCTCTCTGTTCGAAAAATCTTGTCTTTATTCGTCTTGAAGTTTAGGTTTTAATCCATTTTAGGTAAATAATGCAAAATCCGATTTCTAGTGTTCTTTTTGGGAAATTATTCCAGAAATAGTGGGGTTTAGTGAACATTCTTGAATCCAATCTTGAAACTTGATTCTCTGTTTTTTGGCAGATGCAATACATCGCTCTTGATTGATTATTGCAGCAAGGAAG